AGATACCAAATGGTGTTAAATTAACACTACAGCTTTTGCAGCGTACGTGTCTGTGTATATTCTCAAGCAACAATCAATTGTATACATGGTATACACGTACATGACATTATTACTATACCATGTTTATTACTATGATAAATATAAGTGTAGATTTAAGATTCATCAGGTTTTTTTTTTTGTTATACACGGAAAATCAATCGATCAAAATTGTTAAAACAAATTCAAGACATTTATTTTTTTTCTCGTGAAATGTTTTCAAAATACAAATGCTTGCGAGCTTTAAATTTACAGCAGTGTAACGTACTAACACTAACTATTCAGTAATTAATATATTTAATTTTTTTGTTGCGATGTCGAATGATCCGACTCGATTCTGCTTTTGATATCTACTTATGTGCATGTCTAAATATTCTCAAACAATAACATTGTACAACATGCATGCTATACATGACATTATTATTATACATTGGCTCGTTACATAAATGTTCTCAGTGAAGTCTGGCGGTTTCCTGCAACATAAAAATCATTGTAAAAAGATTTCTTTTCTGTTTCCAAACTTTTCAATTTTGTAAAAAAAAAGTCGAGAGGGTCAAAGGTGACAGTTGTTTTCCTCAAATGTTTCAAAGTAGACGGACTAGTACAAGAACACCGATATTTTTGTCTGCTTTTAATTTTGTTGTATACTAGTTTTCCCGCCATTAAGAACCTTTTAGTATCAAGCCAAGGCGGACGTTATGGTAAACCATGTAAATTATGATATGAATAACAGGCACATCTAAAACATTAAATTTTCACGAAACAATAATAAAACGTCAGTTCAATCTAGCATGACTCTTTGCGAAAGAACTCCAAATGTCAGAACTCATTAATTATTGAGGTTGAAATGCACGTTTAATGGTGTCTTTAAAAATGTAATCGGTTTTTCTGCTTTTTCTTGAAAAAGTCTGTCTTGCATTCAGTGTTAAACAACACGTACTTGATCGTCTTCTGTGTAGACAGTACAACTCCGCCGATGTATGTTATATGTACAGTGCTGTTGTTGTTGTTGTTGTTGTTGTTGTTGTTGTTGTTGTTGTTGTTGTTGTTGGTGTTGGTGATGTTGTTGTTCTAGTTTGTTTTCTCAGGATTATGTTAACTATAGTATTCTATTGATGGACAGCTGTAAACTTGTTCTGTTACAAATGTTAATACCGTACATGTTGACTTAATTTTTGCAGAATTGCAAAAGTTACGAGCGCCCTCTACCGCTCTTTAGCCAATGCGGAACATTATTGAAAGAAAACGGTGGCGCTATACACAAAACAGTTGAGTAAATCGATTTGGAATGTAGCCCAAAATGTAAGTCACCATTTTTCTAAACTCTTGGGCAAATTCTTGCTTTACCCGAATCAACCAACAATTACGCAAATTCTTACCATTGTTGGGAAAATAACATTGCCCACCAGTGTTTTACCCTATATATTTTTAAACAGTGATTAACTCTGCGCAGAGTTTAAAATAAACATTCAGTATATGCAAACATTCCAATGAAACAAATCCAAAGTTTCAGACGCGTGCAGTTGTAGTATTATTTACATCACGAAACTGAAAGGAAAATGTGAGGTAGCCTCTAAGGCCAAAAAAAAAAGTCTCCGGTTTCTGGTATGGAGCTTGCCCAAAAAGTGGTGCGGCGACGCGGCTTTTTTTTTTTTTACCTGATTTTTTTGCTTCAAATGTCGGCGGATGACTGCAAATGGTGCCCGACTAAACTTAGTGCAAATATATGGGAGTCCAGAGAGGCCACATAAAGCTTATTCTCGACCATAACCCAATCTAAAAGCACGTTAAAATTGTGCAGCAGCAGGATTCCAGTCAAACCAGTGAGTTTGGCGGTTTTGAGACATCATCTTTCATTGAAAAAAAAAACTTTTTCATTTTGCCGACGCGCATGGCTACGGCGACGCGCGTGCATACCAGAAACCGGAGACTTTTTTGTTTGGCCTAAAGGATAGCTTTTTACATTCTATAAACCTACTCCGTCTTCTTAACTACTTTTATTTGTTAAAATGATAAAGTAAAGTTCGGATATACGGTTCATCAGTCCCTCTTTATAATTAATTATAATACACAAAACAATCAATCGATCCAAAAAATTTAAACAAATTCATGACATTTTTTTGTCACACGTGAAATAATTTCAAAAAAAAATAACTTGCAAGCTTTAAATTTAAAGCATTAACACTATACAGTTATACATAATTATATTGAAATGTTTTTTGCGATGTCGAATGCACCGACATGATTCTAATTTTGATTACCTACACAATGTGCATAATTGTTATGTCTAAGTATTCTCAAACAATAATATTGTACATTATTCATGTTATACATGACTTACTTAAAGGGAACATGTAATAGGATTTTTATGACTTAAATACTTTGAAAACAGCTTTCTTGCCATGTTACTATGACTTTCCACCTCCTTTGTAGCAATATAAGGGAGAAATTTGAACATTTTAGTTTTTATGCTAATGAAAATTTCCATATTCATGAGCCAAAGCGTGATGTCATTCAAGGCAGAACAGTAGTGTCTCCATAGCTTTGTGTACAAATATTTATCAAACTTTTCTTCATTTTCTTGGAGTAAGTTCCACTTTTTACCTGTTTATCATGTTAAACAGCTTGTTTGGACAATAGTAGTGGCAAACATTTCTTCAAAACTTTTTATTGTAGGTAATTTTGAAGGACTAAGTTTTGTGCTGTTCATATGCAGTTTTGACAAGGAGTTCCTTGTGTGACAAAAGCAAAATAGCGCCCTCTTACATGTATTGATGAAAGGATTTGCAAATAATTGAAAAATTACCACTTTCTTGTCACTTCCAATGAAAACAAGTATTAGGATCTTGTATGTATTGTTGCAACACATAGTAATGAGCATAAAAACAAGGTGAGCTGAATTTCCACTGTATGTTTCCTGTAAAGGTTCTTGCACAGTCTCCTAGAATATAGAATCATTTTAATAAGATTTGTGGTCCTGTTTCAAACTGTTCAATTGTGTTAAATACATTTTATTTCGAGGTACATTTTAAAAAAGGTTCCTTTCTAACCTATTTTTTTCTCAAAAGTTTCAAAGTAAACATACATTTCGAAGGACAAAGACATTATTGTCTGTTTGAAACTGTTTTTATATGCTAGTGTGTTTCCGCCATTAAGAACCTTTTAGTAGCACGCCAAAGCCGACATAATGGTAAACCATGTAAATTATAAATTAAAAAAAATTCACGAAACAACTTAATGGTTCGGTTCAATCTAGCATGACCCGTTGTCATGGAATTCCGAATGTCAGAACCAATTCAAAAGCACTTTTTTAATGATGCCTTTTCAATAATTGATAGGCAAAAAAAAAAGTTCTGCTACTGGTTACCCTATTTTGATAGTCCCTACCCTAATTTGCTTTAGGGAAAATATGAGGTAAAAACCCCCCAAACCATAAATTACTACCTTTTACCCTTGACTACACGCAGACACCTCCATGATCGTACACAAAAAAATGCCCCCCCCCCCAAAAAAAACCCCACCTTACCTACCTACCTTATTTTCAAATGCCATGTAATCGGAAGCAGAACTATTTTTTTGGCCATATCACTGCATTTTTCTTTAAAGTATTGAATTCAAGAGTCGTAGCCAGCGCCGGGGGAGGGGGGGGGGGGTGGGGTCTTTACAGCCCCCCCCCCAAAAAAATTGTAAATACTGCCCTTTTCCATTCGAGTTCCCCTTTTTCACCACGGTTTACCCACCAGTATTTCTGAAGAGTGCCCCCCCTTTTTTTTTAAAACAAGTGCCTTTTTTATGAAAACCAGTGCCTTTTTTTTTTTTAATAAGTACCGTAAAAAAAGGCCCTAAAAGCACCATCTATTTTCGGGTAGTGTGCATGATCATCCGGTTTGAACAGCGCCCCACAGTGTACGGAGAAAAAAACCAACCCTGTCTACATTTCAGCACGGATGTGCGAGTGCCGTTTTCAAGACCTTTTTACCCCCCCCCCCAATAAAAAAGACCTAACTTGATACGCCTCTACGTTCAGTGTGAAAGAGGAAATGTGTTTGATTGTGTTCTTTCGTGTCGGCGGTATTCTACAGGTCACTTCTGGATAACTATGTAAAATACCTAAAGGTATCATGAAACGACTTGTTTTCTTGGAACACATTTTGTGCAATTTTCAATTCCTCTTAAGTGTATTGAAACTACTTGACCTCCCTTTCTGGTCATATATATATATATATATCTATATATATTTCTCTTAAAAGGGCACTTTATTCAACATTTAAAATGAGTTATGCTTCTCCTGACAACTGAGGGCGCTATTGCTGTGATGTCATTTTAGGTCCACACCCTTCAGTTCAGGCGATTTGTGCAAAAATTGTGAACCCAAAATTGTTTCCATCGAAAACCTTTGTGAAAAAAGTTGTCTCACTGACCTACTCTCATTTATACTGAACAAAGAACCGCCAAACAGGCACAGTAAATGTAAGACAGCAAAATATTCAAAATTCGGGCAACTTTTGGTGCTGAAATAGATTGGAGTTTACGTTTCATGTGATAGGCCTACTTTTTTGCTATTAAGTTTACAGATCATCCAATTATAATGCTCATCGATAAAGTGTATCAGTTGCTCAAAATGTACTTTGCTCAAGTACGGCCTCTGGGGTTTTTCGAAACCTTTGCTTCGGGTTCGGCTTCGGCTTCGCCTCCTACTTCTGAATCACTGAGAGGCAAACTAAACAAAATATTCCAACTTTTGTCTTCATATCAACCGATTCACTGTTTCTGAAGCATAACAGGCACCAAAATGTAGCTGGAGTCCCCGAAATTATTAATTAAAGCAGACTGGTATAAATTTGTAATTAACTTTATGACATTGCTTTCATTTCTCTTCGCAAGTTCCAAAAATGAAGATTTTACCTCACTTTCAATTTGATGTGGCCGATTCGTGAATAAAGCCCATGCACTTTCGTTCTCCCTCACAGTACCTCCCTCATTTTCATAGAACAGGATTTCAAAGAATTAAACTCAGTATAGTACTGATAATTATTTTGATAATACCTTTTTCTTATGGACCACATGATGCCAAGGTTGTACGTAGCTTGATCATAATATTTCCCGTTGAGATGCGAATCCAGGCACCAGGCGAACCACCAGGCGCCTTCGTACTGGAGTGCGCAGTTACCACCTTCCTTGGTGATAAAGTCAAGGCCGTTGTGAACGCCCATGGAATCGCCTGTGGTACTTCTTGGATCGTACCCACCCACGCGAAGGGTGAAACTGTCTCCAGACACGGCGAACTCTCCGTACTCGGCCCAGGTCTCCGTGCCATCCCAGTCACCCAGGTCTACTCTCAGACGCCACTGCCCCGACTGAGTGAGTCCGCGCAGGTGCTCGTTCCCCAACCAGAACTCGCCGTCAAGTTCACCGAAGCCGGACCGGTACTCGGTCCAAGTCCGGTAGAAGTCCACCGTGCCGTCTCGCCGCCTCTGAAACACGATCCAGCCGCCACCGTCGGTCTCCATGTCGCAGTAGACCTGGATCTCACCGGTGCCCGACGTACCGGTGGGAAAGATGGTGTAGATGCCGTTCTCGGTGTGGCATGCCTCCAGGAGCTCCTTGCAGCTGCCGTACCTTGCAGGGCCCACCGCCGAAGTGAGAGGCGTTTCCAGGTCCTCGTCGAAGTAGACACTGCCATGCAGCTCAATGAAGTCTCCCACGGGTCTCTGGATCCTAGTTGCCGCGTTGAGCTCGCAGACCCGTCTGCAGGAATTGAAGTTGAAGGATGCACACCGTGGGTCCATAGAGCAGTCACGCCCGCAGATCACAACAGATGCTGTGATCTTTGTCTGATAGGCGTGATTCTTCAAGGTCCGGTTTGTGGCCCCGTGAAAATCACGAGTACACTTGCCTGGAGACGGGTTGAGGCAGTTGTGTGCCGTGACAACTAACATCACAGCTGCCATAACGACACTGATCATGTTTACTAATGGAATATGATGCATCCCAATCTTCAAAATTCAGACCTGCAAGTCTTGTCAAAAGCCGCTACAGCTGGCCGAGAAGTTGACAGTTTCACCGCAAATCAAAATAGTTAACAATTAAAAGTTTCAAGTCCACTTTGTCTGGCAGTGACACACCTGTGGATATTAAGTGATGAGTGTACAGATGGTGGCAGATTACAGTCATTTAACAAAGTCTTGGGGTAGCTTTGTTTTGCAGATATTTTATATCAGGTTAGTATACAGAAATTCAGACTGCGGCACCAGAAAACTATGGCTGTTGTGAGACGATACCAACCCAATGTCAGTTTACCGTCTGCAGGATGTGTTCATCGTTGACTCGCTGGGGGGAAGTGGTGTCGATTGTCTCAGGTGGCACGCTTAAATGCCACTCCCCTCTCCCTTGTCTGCAATATGGCGGCTCCTCATTTCCCAAACCACTTAACCATTAGTTAAATGGCTTGGGAAAGAGCAATTTGCATCTGAACATTCATGTATAACAGTGCTCCATTATTTTGTCTCGACATGTTTAAGAGTGTATAGCTGAGTAGCTCATTATTTAAGTGTTTAGTACTGATGATATTTAGGACTGCTCAGCAAGCACTCCATATCTGATCTTGAAGAAAGCAGACGGCTTTCACATGCTTGTCCAACTCGTCCAAAGGCATCAGATAGCGTCCTCTATATTGATCGCATTTCCAACATTTATGGACATTAATGTCATTGATTGTTGTCAGATGGGGCGCTATTGATTACATATAAGGGTACTATGACGTGTATTAGAACTTTAGAAGTCATAAAATTTAGGCCACCAAATTACCCTGATCGCCTCAATGGTTGGTTATAATTCACAGGTTTAGAGTTGGGGGTTTCAAAGGCGCCCAGTATTAAGTGAATGGGTTATTTTTGTTGTTAATGACACCAGAAACATGTGTTAAAGGGAATAACAGGTGTTAAAAGTAATAACAAGTGTTAAAAGCAGAGCATTGGTAAGAATCCTGATTACAAATAGGTCAAGGGACATTTTCGTTGCTTGGGCAGATTACTCGTTCTTTGCACGGCTTAGAGTTACATGAGAATTAATCGTGATCTACAGAGCGAAGTTCAGATGACGATAACTGTTTGAACTATGGCATAATAACGTCAAATTAAGCCATTCCAGATCTTGCTATCGATCTTGTAGGTGTACTTTGAAATACCAGTAAACTAACAAATTCATTGTTAATTCTAAATCATCAGTCGATATTCCGAGTGCATACGCCCCACATCAAAGTTCGATCAACAGGAATATTCCAGAACAATCTGGTCTTTTCTGCACGTAAGCAGTGACGAGAACAAGTCGACATTTACTACTGTGTGCTAGAGTGTTCGTGCATTGGAAAAAAACGTTCTTGGTTGCGACAGTTTGACTTTTGCTAGGCTAGGCTCTCTCCAGTCCGAGAGAAGTACTTCTGAGGTGTTACCACAGGCATATGCGTTCGGCTTACTTTAAAACGTCGCTTATATTCAGGTGAATATAGATGAATTGGGATCATGAATTGTTGTCAAATTTCAATTTGGAAAAAAAAAACACTTACAAACAAAAACAGTATTTGACTAAAAACTTTGCCCTATATTTTGTTTGTTTTATTAAGAAAGATGGCGGAAGCTGCAACCCAAACCGTGTTGGACAAGATCAGCAAGGAGCTGGAATGTCCGATCTGTTTCTGTCGTTTCAAAGATCCCAAGATGCTGAACTGTCAACACAGCTTCTGCCTAAAGTGTCTGGAAAAGATGGTGAGCAGAAAGAAGATAAAGTGTCCAATCTGCAGAAAAGAGACGCAAGTTCCTGACGGAGGAGTGCAAAAACTGTCTCCCAGTTTACTATTGAGTTCTCTTGTTGATAAGGTAAACAAAGAAGAGCAGGCATTAAGGCATGCATCATCTACAAGAGCAACATGTGAATCGTGTGAAGATGGAAATGAGGCTGTATCAAGATGTCTGGACTGCAAGCAGAACTTCTGCGAGAAATGCCAAGAGGAACACAACCGTCTGAGGAACACCAAAGACCATCGCATCATAGAGCTGGACAAATCGAGGTTTTTACCTACGGATCTTACCAAGACTGTCGCACCAAAATGTAGACAACATAGTGATCATGACATATGTTTGTATTGTGAAACCTGTAATATACTAATTTGCTGGAGGTGTGCTGCAACCGAGCACACGCCACCAGATCACAAGTACACTGCAATCTCTGACGTTATAAAATCAATCCGTAAGAATGTCAACGACGAATTACAAAAGTTCGAGAAAATCAAAAAGCAACTTTCATCAAATGGAGACTCCATCAAACAAGCACGAAATGGATTACAAAAGAAACTGGCTCAGGTGCGAAGTGCTATTGCTGCCAAAGCGGAGGAAGAGATCGCTAAAATCAGAAACAAAGCAAAGCTTCTCACCGAAAAGCTCGATAAAATCGGTGAGGAGAGAGACAGCGAGTTCGAAAAGGCGCTCCTATACAACCATGAGCAGATAGAACGCGCAGATCAGATCGCCACGGCAGTAAATGACTTGATGAGACGAGCCGATGACTTCGAGCTTTTGGCGCGCAAGACGTCGGTGATGCGCAACTTGGAATTCCAGAAGGAAATCAAGTGCGAACCTGCAAAGATGGATATGGCGTTCATCGGGGTAAAATGTCAAGATGTCGTCAGTGGCTGGGCACTAGGAGAACCATTGGCAATGAACAACAAAGGGCGGCTGATGTTCACAAACTACGAGGAGAAGAAGCTGCTATGCGTAGACTCTAAGGGCAACGTGCATTTCAGCGTGACGACCTACCTGAATGGCAAACCAGCCAAACCGACTGGTGTCCTGTGCGATGATGATGGGAGCATCTACGTCGCTGTTCACTCCGGTGAACTTAACAAAAATGGAGTGCAACATTACCACTCCGATGGTGCATTCATATCGACAGTTGCTCAAGGGTTGCGCAATCCTATAGGAATGGCGTTCACCCCCTCTGGGGATGTGGTTGTCGCAGACAGACACTCCGTCAAAATCTTCCAGCGGATGTGATTTGCCCGACCGCAAACAAGGTCATGCTAGTAACTTGAACCTGGGCCCTACTGATTTCTGGAATAATGATGTTTTCGTAAAAGCAGTCAGGCCTGATTTAACTGGTGACGTTGACTAGTCGTTAATGCCATCACCAATGCAGGTGTGATGTAACTGCGTGGCGCTGTACGTACTTTCCTGACTCATAACTATAACTAAACTCGGAAAAAAAGAAAAAAGAAATTGATTCGCGTGTATATACAAAAAAAATCATATTGTCCACCTAAGGGCGAAAATTTAAATTGTTAGCAAAAAAGGTAACTGAATCTTGCTTAAGACGCACCGTTGGAAAGGCCTTCTTTCGTTGATTACTTCAAAATGACAGCTTGCCAGAAGGAATAATCTCACAGGGAGTTTAGTCCCCTTACTATCTTTCAACCAAGTATATTTTTCAACAATAATTACTCCAGTTACTTTTCGGATGGCTGCAAATAATGGACTATAGCTTTAATAAAGATATTGTGTACAGTGTACTGCAGTTGTTGAAACAAGTATTGTGTCATTTTCGTTGTTGTTCAAAACAGTTAGAATACACACTAAACTGCTTTTATTTTTGGACGAAACAGGTTTTAGGGTCATTGCGTTTAAATGTTGATATTGTTTGAACGGATTGATCAATTTCAGTATTTTTTTCATGTAATAGTAGCTTATGAAATTGGCTGTCCAGTCATTATTATGTTTGGTGCCACATAATTATATATATTTTTAATACGAAGTATATTTTGGGGGTTTGGGTTCCGCTTTTTTGACTCACCTTGTACGTACTGCCTACGACGCCCAACGCTCACTCGAAGACATTATATGGCTTTGTGCACAACCAGTACAAGAACGCAGTGTGTCTCTCGAAAGTAGTAAAAAAAAGCGCCCTCTCTTGTTCGCACACGGAGTCCGATAAGTACCCTAGCTGTCACGCACGCCCATGGGCGCCTTTTTTCTTTTTGCTACGAGCGAAGGTAGAGCGTGAATAGCGCCATCATTTTACTGGCCGTCATATTGCCTTCCGACTAAAGAGGGCGCAATTTAGGACTCTTTGTAGACACTGCTTTCGCCGGGTAATTACTGAGATATCCTATCTGCCAAAAAACCCCCACAAAAAAAATAAAACTCCGTCTAAATCAAACAGACCCTATTTTAAGTGAACGTCATTTGCACTAGAATTTGTGTACAATAGTAGCGTAACTCTCCAGATATTAAATCAAACTTTAATGTGCATTTGAACAAAATAAGTGCTTGTAAATGAAGACATTCGAAGAATAGGTCCTCAAAAATTGGAAACATAATTCGAACACGGAACCACTTTCTATAAAATTCATTCAAATGTAAACAAATATACCGTTTCAAGGTTTCATGATAGCTTAATTCTCTTTTCTGAGTTCCAAAAAAATCCCCAGTATTGTGATGTAAACGCAACCGTATGGAATAAGTAAGAAGTCGCAAAAGCCTTTTTTTTTTACTTAAAAGGCATAGAACCAGTAATTTGCAATGAATATAAAAGGATTATCCGGGTTTAACATATTTCATAATCTTTCATTGTCGGTTAAATTTTGTTCAATTATCCCATGACTTTTGGGAGGAAATTCCATCCAAAGATGATCACCCCCGGAAAAGTAGTCCTGTCGCCCATCGCCATTTTGAACAATGACGCCTGCGCTCCGTTGCAAAATAGAGCAATTTTAGGGCCCAATTTCATCCGAATTAAACCGAAATACGAGCTCACACCCCTATGTACGGCTTCCACCCATCTTCTCGTACAAACCTTCAAGTTCATGGCCCACAAAATAATTATGCTGTAATAGCAAAGAATTTGAGGGCATACAAATTGTGATTTGGCCCGCGTATGGGGAATTCTGGGCCTAATTACAGGTCTACACCTTGATGACCTGCTGCGGTTCGGGCACGTTATACACTTACACACGCGAAGCCCTCTTCAATACCGTAGAAAACCACCGTTCACGCACTTGTACCAAGCAAATGCCCAGTGAAAAATACCCGAACCCCAGCACAACGCTTGAAGGGGACCAGCGTCAAAGAATAGCGCCCTCTGTGATTCATTCACGCAGCCCAATGTCCGTGCAACTCGGGACTAACCACCTTATGTTAAATTTTACAATAGCGAGTAAACACAACTCCAGATATTATGACAGCACAAAAAGGGCTCACAGTAGTGGAAGATTAGGTTTTACACATTTTTTTTTCGTTCTCATGTAGATATTTTTCCTTGGACGGCAGGAATTGAAAAACGAAGAAGCATACTTCGGTTTTCATTTTCATGAAAAGCCATTTCACTCTTTGCTCTGACCTACTGCAGATATACAGGGTGAGTCAAAAAAAGCGAAACCCAAATGTGGGGACCATTGTTTTAGTGAAGTTCTGCATGTAGCGCTTTCAAAATCTAGGATGTAAACGCCCAATTCATAAGCTTTCTTTTAGTACACGAATCATTCAAATCACTCAAGTACTTTTTAAGTTACGGAATTTCAAACACAACCACCGTTTTAAAGTTTTGTCCACGGATCACAAGAAGGTAAGTGTTCTTTCAGCAAAACGAAAACAAATCACATAGGGATGTGTGTGAATTGTTTTCGTTTTGCTGAAAGAACGCACACCTTTTTTTGTGACGGCGGACAGAACTTTAAAACGTTGGTTGTGTTTAAAATTCCGTAACTTGAAAAGTACATAAAGTGATTTGAATGATTTTTGTACTTTTAAAAGAAAGGTTATGAATTGGGCTTTCATATCCTAGATTTTTAAAGTGCTTTTTTTTTCACTCGTCCTGTATGTCACCAAATTCTAATTCTGACAGCTCGTGTCGCCTTCACGGAGGATTTCATGTTGCGCAACACATCACCAACTGACATTTCTAGGTTTATAAGAATCACCGGTGCGTCTTTGAGGCGAGATTATGATGTCTGTGTGCCGTCTCCGGCCGAACGGACTGTAATGCTAACTGACGGCCCTCCGGCCTTTACGCTGACGTGAAATTGATTGCAAGTTAATTGCACGCAGACTGAGCTATGGAAGATGGTTTCAAATAAACTGGGGCTGATGTGCTGTCGCAAAAATATATAGGCCTCCGTGTAAGCCTATACTAAAATGCACAAATTACAAACATTTTTTCCCTCCCTCTGATGATTAAGGGAATTCGCAGCCGAGTGAAGAGTGACCATAATCCCCCCCCCCCCGATTTACAGACCTTTCTATTATATGTAAACACTGAGCGCCATTTTGTATCAGAGATGCCACTTTTCAGGTTTTTACCTGAATTCAGGGTTTTTTTTCAAAAAATGTGACAAATTAAACGTGCTGGATTTGGTGTGAAACATCCAAAAAACACATATTTGAAATATGTGTAGTTTCAGTTTTTTTTTAGTAGTGTTTCAGGCTTTTTATTGATATATTGGTGGTGTATGGGCCGCTACCTTGGGTGCATTAATCTAAGCCGTGGTTGGCAACGGACTTTGCCAAAAATGTCATCTTCACAACCTCATTATGGAAGACAAAATCTTTTGTTTATACAGTATTTTTTAGCAATTGACGAGTGGTATTTTTAACAATCCGATTTTTTGGACACATCATTGTATATTGACTATTCTTCATTTTTTGCAATAGGCTTTCAATAGTTTGCCGAACCGTGGTTGGCCGAAAAATAATGTCCTAACCACGGGTTGGAGATGGAAAGGTCTATTGTTAGAGGGCCACATACGCTGACCCTGCAGAGCGCCCTCACGTGTTTTCCTTTATTGCGCAAGACTTATGTGCCGCCACTTAAGTTAAAGTTTCGAAAGTTCAGTACAAATGCGGACACGTACGTGTAGGGCCCCGATTTTAAGGCATTTCGCACAAGAACAAAATCGCAAGAACACTTTACATTGTCAGAATCCGTATAATGGAAAAGCCTCAAACGGTATAATGCAGGTGTAAAGAATCATTCAGAAGCGGAATGCAGCGTTACCTAACGCTTGCATAGCGGGCCATTCAGTTATTGAGAGCCGTTATTTTGTCCTGCCAATGCGATACATTTACGTAGAGATACACTCCTATACATATGTACACTGAAAACGGACTTACCATTGTTACGCCCTGCGTTCTTCACACTCTATGCTGTGCTCAACTGCATAATCCCTGCATCGGAATCGTGTATGACCTGGTCCGGCAACATTTTACAAAGTCATTATCGCCGATACTCCAAACCGACAGCAAGAAACATCACACGTCCAAACTCTTTATTCAGCGAGATACATTAGCGCTCTAAGAAAGTCACGAAAGTAGCTTGATACTTCAAACAAATTTGTGCAGACATCTTTCACACTTTTGGTGTATACAGGTTTTCTCGGTTCCCCCAATACCTCTATGCTATTTCCTGTCGATTGAGGGCGCTTTTACTGTGACGTATCAGGGAATGCACTAATTCATGGGCGAAAGCGTTCTAATACAAACTATTTTAATTACACAATTTATCTAAAACTTTGCATATGTAATAAAGATGAGTTTTTTTCTACTTAGCATAGTTTAATAATTTCAAAAAAAATAAATTTCCATCTGCATTTCCGAGATTAACACCACTCGGGTTGGTTAGGGTAAATAAACTCTGCAGGGGATGGAGAAAATATGATTATGGGTGCAAAGGAGATTTTTGCACTGCTTTTGTATGTACGGAAATCAGCCTAAGTTTCCATCGGTCTCTGTCAACAACAAAAATATTGCATACTTACTAGATGCCTGGAAGAAATTTGCTCATGGCGTTGCCACCTGCCAATAATGCAATGCGACATTTTATATATAATTTATCCACGCACACACCATCACAGTTGGACATTCTGAATGCCAATTCCTTCTAACCAAACAATGATGGGAATTGATGTCGCTATAATACATATTTCTTTATTTTCTGAACCGTTGAGAAATGTTTGATTTTTTGCATTACATTAAAACATCATTTCTGTACAACCGTGCATATTATTTATGTCATAAATCACAAGTCCAGTCACAAGTCAATCGCAAGTGAAATCATAAGTAGCAATTCTGGCCAAGTTCGGGCAAGGACCATTAGTCGACTAGTGGTTGATTTGTGACGTACCTTACGCCTGCGCACTGATAGCAACGTGCGAACGTCTCTAGTCAAACGCTGGTCAAAATGTCATCGCAAAACTTCTGGATCCTGGCTCTCTGCTAGCGTTATGAATGCGCGCGGCTATTGGTTACCAGCGAAGCAACCAACCCCAGTAGGCTGGTTCCAAATATAGTCGACTAGCGTAGTCAACCACCGTTGACTAGACAGAGTTCGGGCAAACGTTAGTTAACCATTGGTCAACTATAGTCCTTGCGCGAACTTGGCCTTCATTTCAATAGCCTGGTTAAGTTAACTAGCGACGGGAGTGTAACGATATTGTTATAGCGCCCTCAATTGGCGTAGAGTTATGGCAGTCGCCATCATGTATGCATGGACGAAGCATAGAATAAACACATCACGTTCAGTCTTCATAAATCCTCCCCTGGGAAGTGATTTATTTAAGCTGCATGAAGTAAAACGTAACAGGGAGGACTTGTGATTGACCAGTGATGACAATGTGGGAATATTATACCACAGCGCTGCCAATTTAAACCAACTGCATTTCTGAAGCATCGACTATAAATTGTCCAGGAAACTATTTGTAAGCATAAAAGCACTATAATTTCATTGATAAACGCCTATAAAAATAATTGTCTGTAATAAACACATGTACACTGAATACTTACGAATTTCTTACGATGCAAGCAATACCGCTTTAAGTATACACAAAAGAGAACAGATAATCACGTTTCTATGTCTCCGTTTTATAAAAAACACACAAAATATGGGAGTATGCATTTGAAATGTTATCTACATCTATTATTATGAAGAAGTAGGACTTATTATGTAAATATATTTTGACACAAACTCCTATCGTTTAAAAACGTCGTATTGCCTGAACACCTCTGTACACGTTTTGAGCTTGTCAACTACAGTGACGCATCTTTACGGTTAACCGGGCTGCACTGGTGCGGGTATGGATACTTACGCAACAGCTTAGCTATCAACGCAGTGACGACTTAAAGAGTATACGATTAGTTTGTTCGCAAGTAAAGCCTCGCTTTGGAATCAAACTTCGGTCAGAGATATTAAACCAAGAAAGGTTTACACTGGTGTCAAAGCATCCCTAGAAGTAAGCTTGACAGCCGTACCTGTTGCTAATTCTTAGAGCGTATTACAAAAGCAATGGATATACGAATAATTAAAGTTTTTGAGTGCAATGGCAATAACTGTGAGGTGACATATGGTCGATTCGACCAGGCGAAACCGAGTGGAATGGAACATTCCATCTGTCCCCAGGACAATTATTTCCAGTGCACGATTGTGAATCCTTCGTTATTTTGTTTTATACAATACCTGAATAAATCATCCTCATTTCATTGATCAGAGCAAATTGTATTATCAGATCGCGCCTCCAATAGTGTGACCGTCCAATGAAACTTCAATTTGTCGTGACATGAAACTTCTGGTTTTTGTGGCGCGGTTTTGTGAGGGTTGGGACGAATAATTCAATGATATGCGAGCAACGACCCACCGATCAGATGACGGGGGTTTATTCAGGCGTTGCATTAAGTTTAATAGTTCAGGATTTATCATCGAGGAGTCTTGTTCATCTCAGTCACTCAATGCGTTTGTGAAAACACGGCGTCACTTTTGTAACATCATCATTCATCATTCATTCGGCTGCGGAGCAGGCGACCACAAATTTCCTCCAGTTCCTGCGATCCTGGGCTAAGGATGTAATTTGGTAACGCGTTGATTGTTTTGGGGCTTAGACGCTTTTTTCGATAAGCTCTGATTTCGATTTATTGAGCAATACCTCTGAAAATAACGTCAGCAGAATCTCTTTTTGTTCGCTAATTCTCGCTGTTATCTATCTGTCATACAATCTGTGTCACGTTGACTGACGTGCGCTCAAGAACATTTATTAAACTGAGAAGTGCCAATCAAGGGGCGCCTTTCGAACTGTATTCAATGCCAATGATTGTGGAGGCCTCGAGTTTAAAAAAAATTGCCTAAAACTCAAATTTGAAACAAGGATTTTCATATTTACGTCACTTGAGATCACAGACAGTCCTGCAATGCAAAATACTTAAATTAGAATAGTAGATAACAAGACTTCTGAGACATGCGCATGCGCATGTTGACAATGACGTCAACAATAGAAAAGGACCGGTGTGTCTGCTGCCACCAAGCGTCTCGAAAGTCTCCCATTATCAGGCTGGTTGCCGATGTAACGGATTATTTCCATCTGCAGTGCGTACGTGGTACCAGCCACCGAAGAAAAGTCTGTGCAGGCTGTCAAGTTCCAATAGCACTGTGCATAACTGGATCTCACCTGGGCTAAATTTGCATATTCATTTGGAGTTTACTCGCAGATTTTCACCTTCGCTAATTTTCTATTATGCAATCATTGGCCTTGCGCTTGCTCCGTCCATGGCGACCGTTCCTCTGCGCTTCCATGGCGACGTACGTGTAGTTATCGTAGGCCGGCGGCGAGGGCGGCGGCTGGTAGTCGTAGCCCACGCCGTCGTCTTGCTCATTCTCGTCCTTGACGAGATCAGACGAGTCGTCTTCCTCCTCGTCCACGATGCAGCGGAGCTCGGAGGCCCGACCTTTGACCTGCAGCCTCTCGGTGGCCATGTCTTGGCGGCGCTGTTCCCGCAGTTCGGCCAGCTCCACCTGTGCCTTGCGCAGCTCTTTCCGTGTGCCGCGCACCAGGAAGTACAGAATCAGGAGCATCATGCAGAGGGCAAGCACGGCGAAAGTCACGAAGCCGATGATCATGCCAGTTTGGAAGCTGTCCAGCCCGCCGGACTTGTGGGATGATCCCGAGTGATGTACGGGTTGCTGCGGCATACCGGGCCCGGCCAATGTCGCCGGGGTCGCAGCGATCACCGGCGACACAGATATGCTAATGAGGACCACGATGGTGAAGAACGCACGCGTGCACTGGTAAGTTATCCATGAGAATGCCATCTTGGATTCTGAGTTACTGCTCAAGCTCGACGCTGACTGCTTGGAGACGCTGAGTTTTACTATTTCTGCAAAAGAAAGAAACAATATCAATCTCTATAATATAACATACAAGAATTAGCTTAAAAAAAGCTAGCCAGTCCTTTAGTCAATAAACAAAAATTGAAGCAGATACAGTGAATTAAAAAAAAGTGATGCGGCCAAAGTCCGACTCAAAACTTGGTATCAAGCATCATACAAGCATTTAGGTTTGACGTTGTAATACATCTTTAACCTCTCGCACATGCACTGCGGCACAGGGCAGTACAGCAGTTAGCGGATAAACACCCGTCAAGTCTTCTGAAGTGACGTACTCACGATGTATTTAGAACGGAAGTCGACTACTCTCGTGCATCCAAGAGTTACCAAATTAATCGGTGTACAATTCGGGCGATTCACAATGCAGTGCGCCACCAAGAGTTTGCCTCGGAGAGTTCATTTTTCCCAGTGCATTGTGGGAGATAGTCGACAAATTCGCAGCTCGGGACATTTGAAAAGTTAGTTTTTTTCCGGTCAGTATAGTTTCGTAAGCGTATGATTCAAGGATCTGTTTGCCCTTTTCTTTTCTTTGTATCAATATGGTGTTTTTGTAAGGTGGTAGAACGCTATGCCCCAATCTATGGCAAATTAGCTCAAGTTGTCTACTGACACTCATTCAAATGGGCCATATTTTGTCGACCGTAGAGCTGGAAAATGGACTTTCCATGTCAAACTCTTGGTGGCGCTCTGCATTGCGAATCGCCCGAATTGATGAAACGGACTAAACTACCGCTTTTTGTCAGGGATCTCAAATTCCCTTAAAGACTTCGATCGGGAATATGTCTTATACAGATTAAATGCTTATGATTTGTACAGCGTCAATGCTGGATGTGAATATAGCTTCAAAACCTTACCAGGCGTTTAACGTTTAGTCTTCATACCTGAACTTAACGAGGGATACGAACTACAGCTAGTACCTGATATACACGCTATTACACGCTATACCTCCATACACGCTATTCGCACACTTCCCTAAAACCAAATGAAGCTGCTTGTGAAAAAAGTCTGTTCTTTGCTATATCACACAAGACATAAGAAATAAGACAAAGACATAAGAAACCTTTATTAATCTCCAGATGAAGAAATTACAATGCTCGCAAAGCTTATAGAAAGGGAAGTACACTGAATACAAAATACATTAGTTCAAATTTACAGATACCAGATAAAAACATTGCACTTGAAGGAGAAGCTTGTACCTGTCATTCACTGTCTAGCCAGCCAAAACAAAAGTCATCTTTCAAAAATGGTATAAATATACATTTGTCATCATATGCAAGGGTATTGGTGAACATCTGCAAGATATTTCATGCAACAGCACACGCTGCACATGAATATGCACGTCGTGACCACAATTTCGCTTGTACCCACCGCCCTGCAAACAGGGTGCTGGGAAGGGCTGATGAGCTTCACAGAATCTTGTGAAGGAAAAGGGGATGGCATTCTGGGTAATTTATCATGACCTATGTATTAAAGCATCTGGCTGCAGCTGTTTAAGACCGCGGTATAGCCAATGCGCACAAATGCTATCCGAAAAGTGTGCCACAGAAATGCATTCACACCATACCGGATGTGATTTCTTTTTCATTGCAGACCATGTGGACAAATTTTGAGCGTCGAAAAATGCATTTCGACCCTTCGTGAATTCGAAACGGAGCCTTGGCAACTGACAGGAGTTGAACATTTACAAAACAGATACGTTTTACAGATTTTCCTACTATATTATGCTTTTTAACGAAAAAAAAAGGGCATTTACGAATGGGAATAAAAGAGTGATGAATGACTCAGTCTTAACGGCCGTTTCAAACCTTGCAGGGTCGTGGTCGTGATGACTTGCAGGTCACAGGTCACGCAAAATCTATCCCATCAGAGCGTTACTTCGTCAGCCCTTCCCAGCGTCCTGTTTGCAGGGCGGGGGGTACGAGCGAATACCATAATGCACTCTCACTTTGGCAGCCTGTCAATTTGCAACTAACTGTGTCCGAATCCCCATTGGAAAACTCCCATATGAAATCAGCGAGACAGAACGGCTTCTAGGTTGGTCTGTCAACAGTAACGGCGTGCAACACACGACCCACGGGTGCAGGCCAATTTCCCATGTGATCAACCCATAACATTGACCAATTGTGGGATTCTTGCCAATTCGTTTAATACGACTCCAGATTCCCTATGCAGAGGGAAAAACCCTGATTTCTTTTAGATTGCACAATTTTACAAAAGAGCTGAATCGGTACTTCAGTGCGGAAAAAAACAACAGCAGTCTTAACCAAAAAACAAAAAAAAAAAAAAAAAACCGCGCACGTGGGACTCAACTCAAACGGCCAAATTGACCGTTGCGCGCCATTGTTCAGATCGTTTCCCGTGCGCGCTCTGTCCATTTCCTGTGACGACATTTTCTTTCTTCCCTTTTTCTCCATCTTGGGTGCTCCCCATGGCTTTAGGCGCGGGACGTCTGCTCTATCTTGTGCTTGGGAAAAAAGGTCTCCAATGAAATTAGCAAATGCGGCTTCCTGTGCAGTTCTTGTCTGACTTTGGCGCGACGCACGACACTTTCAGTGTAAACAGCAGAATTCTCTTTCCAGTTTGAGTAGTCTTCTTTCGAGGCTGGCCTGGTGCTTGTCATTGTCAGGAGTTGCAGTTGCGATCATGGATAAAACAAAAAGAGTGGGATGAGTTTGTACAGTGGAACGTCGCTATACCGAACACCGCTATACCGAACATTCGGCTATACCGAATATTGTCCTTGGCTCTTGATCTTTGTGTACAGGCCTCTATGAAGGCATGAGCGTTAGAAATGGCGTCCTGAAGATTGAGGAACTGGGATCTCCTCGGTATGTGTCTACAGGGTGTAGAAGGTGCCGTTAAGTATCATGTTCGCAAATTTGGTGATATGACGTATTGAAGTCAGCTTAGAAACGAATATCAACATAAATGGTCGAAAAAGAATCTTGTTTTCCCATAACCGTCTATCACTGAATCGAAACTGTCAGCAGAAATGGTATAAAGCACGAAGGGTATTTAACTATACCATTTAATTGTTTAATTATTTTGAATTCATTTTAAATATGTTGCTGATCCATCAGTGCTTTTTCACTGTAATAATTTGAGGAATGCTTTATTTGCTTAATTTCTAGCGTATTGTGTGATGTGTTAAACCCAGTACTCCAAGTCAATTCTCGTGTTGACAATCCTTTTCCCCAAACAGGAGTAATTTGTGAAGAAAAATGCTTAGTATGATTTCAAATTCTCCGCATTTCGACCCAGTGACGTCGAAACGAAAGTTTATTGAAAACTTTACACCTGTTTTATTACAGTTGAGTCTTTTAATCAATTAAAAATAATAAAACAATAAAGAAACAACTAGCTATTGAAAAGCAATCCAACTGATACAGGTGGAATGAAGAATCATCCTTGTAACCATTATTGGTACAGGTCCGATAATAGTTGAACACAAAAAGACCACAATTGCATTAAATATTGATAAAATTGGTTATAAGAATTGAACACAAAATGCATGAAATACGTTCAATTTTCGTTGTTCTCATTGATTTTTTTTTCTTAAATTTTATTTTGATCTGGCTTCTTGACATGCATGACTAAGGACAACACATTCTGTTTTACTTTAAGGCGTAGTGTTTTTGTTTTGTTTTTGTTTTTGTTTACTGCACTTACAGAATTATTAACTTTTTTTATGATGCATGATGTGAACAAGATTTTATAATGCATGCTGTGAACAAGAGAGTTTATAAGTTTTTTCCTACTAATATTGAGTTGTTCACACTGCTTGATTTATGTAGACAATTAATAGTCGATAATATGCTAGGCAAGTTCCAGGCGCTGTCTAATAAAATATGGTGTCCGGTTTTTGCCGGAGGGCCAAATGGATGTCTTTATTGTTGTAATACGAGGATTGTAGAAATATCTCATGCGATGATAGTCACAAATCTGTGGAATGTGTAGGTTGAATGTATGGAGGGGAGGGGCCAGCTGTTAGTAGGGGGGGTATTAGTAGGTATGACTATTATCTACTGTTTATTCTATTGAAAAAAAGTAAAACTGCTGCAAACTGCTTACTGACTGGATGGACCTGAAATATATAAATCTTAAAATTAATGTGGCCTGACGTTGCGAACTTAGCAAGTTCTTCTTCAGAGGCTAAAACAGTTTTAGCCTCTGAAGAAGAACTTGCTAAGTTCGCAACGTCAGGCCACATTAATTTTAAGGTTTATTCTATTGTTATTTTCCTTTTTTGGCTTGGGGAATGGAGGGGGGGGGGAATATTTAACCCCTAATCCCACGTAGATCTGCCACTGACGTTCCTCCATGCCGTCTCGAAACAGACTCCGTGAATGAACGATAGATGGCGCTAATTCCTAACCCGCCGGTGAAGAGTTCCATTAGGGTGAGTTGGTGGGGTGGTAGAAGACACAATGCAGTGGCGTAACGAACTCGTTTTATTGGGGGATGGTGGTGGGGGGGGGGGGGGTTAGAGGTGAAAGGGCACTCGTCCATCCGTGCTGAAACGTAGACAGGGTTTATCACCGGTCATCCGGCCTCCGTAAAATCATAGAGAAAACAAAAAGCGAGGGAGGGGGGGGGGGGGGGGGGGGGGGGGTATCAGCTCCCATGTGCGCGCTTTTCAAACCTTGGGCACTATCCGACAAAAGGTGGCCCTTTCAATCATGGTGGCACAATTGTCAGCGTTCGCGCGAGATTTTTAACAAAAAAGGACACTCTTTAAAAAAAGAGCACATGAAAAAAGGGCACGTGTGAAAAAAAGGCACTCTTTACAAATACATGGGGGGGGGGGCGTGTTAAATACCCCCTTGACCACCTCCGGCTGGATAATCCACTGCAAGTCGTAAATAGTGTACTCTGGGCGCACGTGTTCTGTGAAATAAAAATCCTTTCACGACTGGACTCGGATTTGGCTCGGACTTGACAATTTGGACTCGGACTTGAGCCAGACTTGGAACAAAAAATTAACTCTGAT